ATATCCACTTTTGGTCACTCAACCTGGCTTTGGGTTTCATCTAGGTAGAAAGATGGTCGCTCCATAGGTTAACATGTTATGCTGATTGTGTGTTGACTGACACATGGGTCTCACCTAGCACCCTACCTGGCAGTTCTAAAACGAGTCGTGGAGGGACACTAGTGGTGGCCTGGCGGGCGACGGTGGGCGGGCCACGGCCACATAGCCACTCGATTTCCTCTAGGAGAACATATGCTGCAACGCCGATGTTCTTTCCTATTGTTGTTTTGCTACTTGTTACTTGCTGCAGTCCTAACTTTACTATAACTTCTTTTTGTTCAGTATTCTTGTGTTGCCTCGGTTTTCTAACATGAAGAATTTTATTGTTAATTTTTTTCGGTGTGCCATATGCTGCAATGCTGATGTCGTTTCCTATTGTTTTTGTCCTTGTTGCTTGCTGCAGTCCTAACTGTTTACTACTGCTTTCTTTTATATATGCTTTCTGTGTTGCTTCGGTTTGTGACAGGAAGAATGTCGTTGTCAATAAGTTCGAAGGCCTACCTTCAGTGCAAGACTGTCAGGTTGGTCGATGTACACAAATCGATTAGATGCTTTCTCTATAGTGTTTCTTGGCTTTGTGTTAGTTTCATATGCCAACGTACAATCTGCTAGGGGTTTCCTTACTAACCATGGAAGCCTATTACGATACTAAATCCATAAAGGTATATCATATTTATGTAGTTATTAGATTGTTGACGGAAGGGTTTTGCCTTTTGTTTCCGTATAAGCAAATGTATCGAACATCATTTGTTTCTGAAAGCAAATGTATATAATATCGTAGCTCTTAGATGTAATTTTTAATTACTATGATTAAACTTAAAATAACTCAATTATATTTTATTTTCAATGATCCCATGAGAGTAGTCATAACAACAAATGAGTTTATGTGCTCACTTTGGTTTTAGGAATTTGTTGTCTCTGTTCTCCTAGAGGAAATTGAGTGGCTACACTCCAGTGCCCCGCGCACCACTCGTGTCCCTCCATGACTCATACAGGAACTGTCAGGTAGGCTGCTAGGTTAGGCCCACGTGTCGGTCAACACACAGTTAACATGACATGTCAGCCTACGAAGCCAGTTAGACCATGTTTTGACCCGGATGAAACCTAAAACCAAGTTCAATGACAAAAATAGACATTTTAGAAGTTTGAAGACCGAGATGGCATATCCACCAAGTTCAAGGACCAAAAGTAGGCATTTTAGAAGTTAGGGAAATGGTATTGGCATAGCCAGCCAAGTTTAGGGATTAAAAGCTGATATTTTATAAGTTAGGGATCGGGATGGCATAGCTAGCCAAGTTTGAAGACTAGATATGAGTTTTATCTATATTTAAGAAATCCAGAACGAGTTATAATTTGGAACGGGGCGAGTAAGTAGAAAGGCTTTGGACACCTCCGCCCACATATATGTTAAGTCTAAGTTTGATGAAGTTTATAAATTAGTACAAATATATGATACTAAATAAACATCACATGATTTATTATGGAATGTATTTTCTATAATGTCTAATTTGTGTCATAAATGTTGACATTCTCTACAACTTGATCAAATTTGAGTGACCTAGACTAGAATGACTTCTCTTTTTAGGATAGAGGTTTTCCGGATGGAGTAGGAAGTAAAATCGCGATGCGCTTAGACCACGCAGCCGAAAGACATGTTATAACAATTCACCAGCTCTTCACTAATTATTAGAAAAAAAATTGTTTGATGGGCTATTTTTAGGCTAATTTCTCCCTCTGTACTCGATGAACGAAGACTGGACATTTTTTGGCCCGTGTTCATTCCAAATTGAAGCTCACTAATCGTCAATGGAATTGCAAGATCTTTCTAGTATACAATTTTTCTCCTGTTTAAATTCTTTTTCCGCATAAATTGCATGATATGTTCAAAGCGTATAATTTTCTCTTGGCACCAAATAAAAATTACTCCATGCTACAAATTTGATTCATCTCTCTCTAGTGATCTTGCATCAAGAGACATGAACTATGCAAAAGAAAAAGAAAGAAAGAAAAAGTATGAGAAAAGAAAGAAAAAGAAAGAAAAAGAAGAAAAATGAAAAAATAGAAAAGCAAAAGAAAGATGAGAAAAGATAGCCATTTTCTCAAATAAATAGACAGAGAGAGAGAGAGATCATGAAAAAGGAGTATAATATCTTCCATCAGGTTCCACACACAAGCACTCTATTTAGTTGTTTTATTTTTCCACCGCTTATGACAAGGAGAAAGCTATAAGCCCTAATGACTAAGGTAATATGGGTGAGTACTAAAAATTGCCAACTTATTCAATTCAAAAGATAAATATTGATTTGTAAGCAAGATACTTGAAATGAGTTAGGCTAGGCAAGTAGTGGCTATTAGGACGGTCTCTTGTACTAATCTTCTTGCCTAGTGTTGTGTCTCTTAAGAAAAAATTGATAGTCCATTCAACCCCCTCTAGTTATTCTAGATCTTTTTTACTAACCTTATTGAGCAACCTCTTTAAAAGAAATGTAGATCCCCTTTGCAATTTGCAACTTCTAGAACTCCAAGGACGCTAATAATGAAAGGTGCACGGTCTATATAGTTCTAGTCGGTAGAGAGAAAAAGGATATTTATAGAGTTTATCTTTATCATACATGTGGTGGATTAAGAAAACTGCTAGTGTAAATGATTACGCAGGGGATGCCCTTAAGAAAAACTTCCTTACACTTGCGGTTCAATTAACACTACCGCTATTATAGAAACTAAAGTCAACCGCTAGTGTAAATATCAGACTTAAACATGAGGTTGACTTAAGTTTGTGTATCTGCACCATAGCCATAGGCCCATAAGTCTGTTTGTACTGGTTTGTACTTTTTATGAATCACCTACGTAAAAAAAACCCTGACTTTAGCAAAAAAAAAAAAAAAAACGTTTCTATACTAGTGAGTGCAGCAGGTCTCAACCTGTAACGATGCAATATAGTGATAGGCATGCTGATAAATGCTGCCACACAATATGCGGTTATGCTCAGATTGGATATCTGCCCAAACATATCGAGCGATAGTGCCAATAATTTTCTAGCCTCACTTTAGGCTATAAACTATAAATATGATGGTAAAACCCCGACCTTTGATAGGATATAATTGTTGGCTCACAATTTTCAGCACCCATTTCCATGCATACTCCTTAAACTAAAGCTATTTAATTCTTTTGTTGATTAAGAGCATATAAAAGCCTTTCTTAAACTCACTCTTTAATTCATCGTTTAGAGAACCATTCGAATAAAAAATGCTCTTTATATCTTTTCACCCCTCAACAACTTTGTATATCTTATACGCACTGAGTCAATCTAACTCTCCATCTTTGACTAGTGATAAATTTTTAATAGAAAATTGTAATAATATTTAGAGATCTAAAAAAAAAGTTATTGGAGGACATTTTTTCTCTATTCCTATCAGAATTTGCTTGAGTTGCTCTAATATTTGATGGAAAAATCTAGAAGTTTTAAAATAAATTGTAATTAGCATTATCTGTAGCAACATACAGGGGTGGACAAAAAAGACCGAGACTGAAAAACCGAGATCAAACCCGAAAATATCAAAGTATCGGTCCACGGTTTCCATCTCGCTTCTCACTTTGCAAAGACAGATGTACAATTTTTTTTATCTCGGTGTGTGCGTCCATTTAAACGAAACACCCCAAGTGCTTATCTACGCCATTGCTCCCTTGTGCAGCTGTGCTAGTGCTTGCTAATCTATCTAGGCTGCAACCAACCAGTGATCAATCCATCAACGTTCGACTACAGACTATGTGCTTATTTGCAGCATTGCTCCCCTGAGCAGTTATGCGCTAATGCTTGCTAATCTATCTAGGCTGCAACTAACCAGTGACCATTCCACCATCGTTCGACTACAGACTACTCCCCTCCCCTGTGCCAACTGCCAAGGACGTCTTCGCGAGGAGACAGGGGAGTCGCGGCTGAAGCCCGACCCCGGTCGTCGGGAGCAACTCGTCGATGGGAAGCCCAAGAAGTGCGAGCTGAGCGCTTCCGAACCCATCTCCTGCTGACGCTCCTCCCGTCCTCCATCTCCAAAGTCAAACTGCCCCAAGGACCGTTGTTACCGCTAACTAACATCCTTCCGTTGCCAGCTGCGGGCGTCGTGCGCGCCTCTCACCATTTTGGCCCCCGTTCACTCCGTCCCGCGACGAGCGCGCCACCACCCCCGCCTCTATTTCTTTAGCCCCCGCCATTTCTCTCCAGCATCGCCCGCCCCCCGCCTCAAGGCTCTCCTCTCGGAGGTACGTGCGTGCGCGCTCCTTTTTCCTCACTTCCCTCCTCGATCCCTAGCTGCGCGCCCCTCCGTATCCTTCCGATCTAGCCATTCTAGGTGCTTGCTCGCCGGGGGAATCACGAGCGTTTTGTTGTTATTGGTACATTGGCGTCACGGCCACTTGCGTGTTCGTCGATCGTCGTTCTTGTGCTCTGTACTATGCACATGTTCTAGTCGGTAGGTATCGGTAACATCGTTGCTAATCATCAGGTATCGATTATCTCCTTAGCACTCCCTCCGATCCAAATTATAAATCGCTTTGAATTTTTTGGGCAAATTGACTTATAATTTAGAACGGGGAGCAGAAGGGAATGTATGTTTTGAAAACGTATCAATTATGAATTATCTAGTCTCAACTGCACACAAAGAGAAAAGTCACCCTAAAAATTAATGTTTTTAATCCTACCACTTGGCATTGAATCAGATTATATCTGGTGTATTATCACCACATTGAAATATTCAGCACATTATTCCTCAAAAATTGGACATGTGTGGCAACATAGCATTTGATTGGTGTAATGGCGATGATGTTTTTTGTTTAGTTTTTATTCAGACTTATTGAAGTATAAGTGAATTGTCCACTTTATCCATCAGCTTAAGCTTTCCGGTTAACTTGGTCGGTGTATGGAACTCAATACTTTCTTTTATCAGGTCCGATAGGGCAACCCAATAATGGCAGAAGTCCTATCAGGATCTCATGAGCACCATCTGAGCTCTGGTGAGTATGCATATAATTAAATGACATAAACATTTTCTTGTTGACTGAGATAGAATATCTTGCAACAGTACTTTCTTTCTTTGTCCTCATCAAAAAGAACTTGTGATATTTCTGTAATGTCTGAATGTGTACATAGTGGGTTTTTTATTGATAAGTTGCACTTATGGCAACACACTTTTGTTTTGCCCAATCAGGGACAATTCAACATAATCCTTACAAGTCAAATTTAGTCCCCGAAATTGAACTTTGCAGAATTGACTTACCTACAAATGATATCTGCAGCCTTAGATGGACACTATGACGAGAAGAGGAAATCCAATGTGGAATACTCAGAGGATGAAAAGAAAGCCAAGATCGCGTCTCTGAAAAAGAAGGCTATGAGCGCCTCACAGAAGTTTAGGCATTCCATGAAGAGGGGGAGGAAGAGCAGCAAGGTCATGTCCATCTCAATTTTGGATGACCGTGAACCTGAGGAGGTGCAGGCTGTGGATGCCTTCCGCCAGCTTCTTGTACTTGAAGAGCTCCTACCATCACAGCATGATGACTACCACATGATGCTAAGGTGTGTGATATAGTAATGATCCATCCTATTGTATGATTTTATTTTCATGTGTGGCAGCATTGCTGAAAGTTGGGATGATGAAGATTTCTGAAGGCAAGGAAGTTTGATATCGAGAAGGCAAAGCAAATGTGGTATGATATGCTCAAGTGGAGAAAGGAGTTTGGTGCAGATACCATTCTCGAGGTAACTATAACTACCCACCAGAGTTTGCTAAAACCAACTTCATTTTCATGAGTACTTTCTCATCGATATTTACAGGCTACTAGTTCATAAACTTTTGTAACATTTTCCTTTTCTCTAATGGAAACTTAGGAATTCGAATTCGAAGAAGCAGATAAGGTGGCAGAATGCTACCCTCAAGGTTACCATGGGGTTGATAAGGAAGGCAGGCCTGTCTACATTGAACGGCTTGGACACATCGATGTGAATAGGCTAATGCAGGTCACTACAATGGATCGCTTTGTCAAGAACCATGTCAAGGAGTTTGAGAAGAACTTTGCTGTCAAGTTCCCAGCTTGCTCAATCGCTGCGAAGCGCCATATTGATCAGAGCACAACAATTCTTGATGTGCAAGGAGTGGTATGTATGTATTTACAAATTGGTGGCTACTCAATGGTTGCAATTTTACAATGAGTAACCAAAGACACATTTTCAGGGGATGAAGCAATTCAACAAAGCTGCAAGGGACCTCATTGGTATGCTTCAGAAGATTGATGGTGACAACTATCCAGAGGTAATCCCTTTGATATGTGTTTTGTATTCAGATATTTGATCTGAATTTTGTAAACAATATTGTTCTTACCATGCCAGTTATCTTCTCTTTTGGTGCTAGACCCTGTGCCGGATGTTCATCATTAATGCAGGCCAGGGATTCCGGCTTCTATGGGGCACAGTGAAGAGCTTTCTTGACCCAAAGACCACTGCAAAGATTCATGTATTTTTTTTCATCTTTTTGTAGTTTTGTTCTTTAGCTATGATTCCAGTGCTCAATTAGAATATCGTCTCCATATTTCTATAGGTTCTGGGCAACAAGTATCAGAGCAAGCTTCTTGAGGTGATTGATGCTAGGTAAGAAACCAGTCCTCTAAGTTATTAGCTTTACTGAACTCGTCAGCTAACTTCTATGGCATTTGCCCACTGAAATATACACGTTTCTATTATTCAGTGAGTTGCCAGAAATTTTTGGTGGAACTTGCCAGTGTGAAGGTGGTTGCATGAAGGCTGACAAAGGCCCTTGGAAGGATCCCGAAATCATGAAGGTGAGGACTAGTCGAATCTGGTCCTTTGACCTCAACCTTGTCACCTTGAATATAAATCACGAAATTTTTAAGGAGAAGGCACTAACTCAATTCCTAATGCCACTTTGATGTGAAGATGGTTCAAAGTGGTGCTGGGAGGTGTGGATCACACAGTATGTCCTCTTTTGAGGCTGAGGAGAAAATGATTTGTGAAGATGACATGTATCCTAAGGTACGGGAAAACAAAGAAAACAACTTTCATGTTTGCATAGTGGTTGTATTTATTCCTATCTATTTTTTAATGTTTTTTAAATCAAGAAACAAGCTTTATTCGATGGGGAAACACAATTAGCTGGAGATGGTCAGCGTTCTCAGTCACAGAAAATTTCCCGCAGCCGAATTGAACATCCTCAGTTGTCACCTGTTCACGAGGAACTTATCCCCACTTCACATCCTGTAAGTCATTCTTGTTATGATTGTTGATCATTCGATAATGAACAAAGACATTAATTAGTGCAAAGTTTATAGTTAGAAACTTAGTGTTGAACCACAACATCCAAACTTAAACGGATTGCTAGCTGAAAACTCAAACTTAATCTCAATAATCCTAACACTTGCGATGTACTCACTTTTTATTTCTGGTGAACTTTTTAAGACCCCTGGATCACCCTATTCTTGTGATGTCCCAATGGTTGAAAAGGCCATACACGCTATCTGCAAGAGCCCGGGGACACCACCAGATGAGAAGATTGCCATCACCAAAGGTTAACACCACCACTACAAGTTTATGAATGAACAAACTTTTGACGAATTAGTGATACTCCCAGTTTCCTTTCACTGATAGACTGACTAAACATTATTCTTTATCAGCTATTATAAATGCCTCTAATGGATCCAAGCCCCCACTCTATGCTGGCATCATAGCACTTGTGATGAGCATTGCAGCCATGGTCCGTGTGACCCGCAACATGCCTGGGAAGGTACTTGGCGCTGCCATAGGTGGAGCTAAGCCTACTACCCTCTCAGAAAGTAAATCAAAAATACAAGAGTGGCAGCGATCCAAGCTATCAGAAGAGGCTGTCAAGGAAGCTGAAGATGCCGTCTCTGCAAAGTGCCTCGCCGAGCTTGAGGAGAAGGTCCTTGCACTCCTGACAAAACCTGCGTCAATGCCTGTTGATAAGGAGGAGATTCTGCAGGCTGCTGTCATCCGCGTTAGTGCACTGGAAGAGGAGCTTGCAGCTACAAAGAAGGTATCATCTGCCCCTCGCTGGAAAACCATGTTTTACCACACCATATACTATGTAATTAGTAATTTTAATCATTATGTTGGTTTCGTATCTTTCTGTATCAAAAACAATAACCTGAAACACTACGAAGTATATGATTATAGCATATTTCTGAACCAATTAGCCTGTTTTAAAACTTGCTTTGACTTGAGTTTTTGCAGACCTTGCAGGAGACTCTTGAGCGTCAAATGGAGATCGTTGCATACATTGAGAAGAAAAAGAAGAAAAGCAAGGTAATCACCTAGAGAGAAAACTCATGACAAAACATTATGTGCCCAAAGCACTTACAGCTGTGATCCCTTCTTCTAAAAACAAAACAACGTTTTTCACTTAAACATAATGGTCTAATACTGTCATCCTAGTTCCATGATTTTACTGGAATTGATATGCAAATCAATCTGGATTGAAGACACTTGATTTATGTGCTCTGAAACTACGTTTCCTGCGCTACTGCAAGTTTCATTATCTCATTTTTCATCAAACTAACACTGCCTTTGAATTGTGCCTGCAGCGTTTGTTTCGTTGGTAGAAGCAAACAACACTGAAGTGTTCACGTCCATGAGAAAAAGGTTTTGCGTGTGATGGAAATGAACTGGTGTTTGCATATGCCAGCAAACTGCGATTCTGGGTGTAACATATAATGTTCTTTTATTCTTCTTTTTGTTCCCTTGTTGCATCAAATTGTGCCTTACCACGTCGATGTGCTGCCAAATTGTCAATCCCATCCCTGATATGGTCAATCATGGATGGACGGACTGCTGAGTATTTGCAATATAAATATATTATTACCACAAACTACGTGCGAACGTGCGGCCTTTGCTACTAACGTGCCGCGTCTGTTCTTTTAATCTCTACTGACTTTTCAAGGTTCGGCGACTGCGAAGTATGAAGCTATGGGCTGAGACGATGCAGTGCCTCATCACGTCTTGTGTGTTCACCCGTGACGCGTTAGGGGTGACGCTCGGTCGTCTCTAATATCGGCTGAAAGTGCTTCGCTGCAGTGTTTAGTAGCATGCAACGACTGTAGGAGGAATATAATTAGGAATGTTTGCATTGAGTCTATCGGGTAGTACAGTATGCATATAAAGTTCGCATGACTTGGGAGTTAAGCTGGTATCATTTCTCCCCCCACTCGCCCAAAACCCTATTGCTCCCTGCTCTGCTCCCGTCCCCCTTCGCCGTGAAGCAAGCGAGGCGAGGCAGAAGCCATGTTGCTCCGCATGCTGAACCCTAACGCCGAGGTGCTCAACAAGTCAGTGGCGCTGCACATGAACATCAACGCCGCCAAGGGCCTCCAAGACGTGCACAAGACCAACCTCTCGGCCCAAGGGAACCATCAAGATGTGACCTTCCGGTCCCTCCTCTTCCCTCTTCTACCGCAGCTGGCCCTTTGGGCGTTATCGCTAGATCACCCTCTGGTAGATTCGATGGGTTTCTTCTATTGTTGGGGGTGAAGCCTCGTGTCCAAAGGCTTACTAACATATAACCAACCTTTGTATGGATTTCATGAGCAGGAACATTGACGAAGGTCCAGCTGGAGGCCAGGAACCAGTACCAACACCGGTACAGACTGCGGAGCAGCGAAGGCCTAGGGGAATCTTCGCTGGAGGTTCCCGAGCTAGGGAATAGCCTTCGGTCGGTTCCTCCGACCTTCGGAACATCGCCAAGCCAGGACAGCGGGCAGATCCTTCGAACGACTGGGTTAGGCATGAGGCGCTAGAATGGTCAAAGGCAATTGGTGGCTGAGGCGGTGGTCAAAGGAGGGTGAAGCCCTGATGGTGGAGAGCCATGGATTCCAGCCCAAGGGGCATGCTGGGCTAGAGGTCCAGCTCGATAGGGGCCCATCAAGAAAGGCGGTTGGGTATGTAAATGGCACTAAGGCCCGAAGGAGATAAACTTAGAATAGAGGAATATACCAAAATATGCCGTAGCTAGCGTAGGGGCATTATTGTACTTAGGAAATTGTGTAACCATACCCTATAAAAAGGAGGGCTCGGCCCCCAATGAAGCAGAGAGTGAATTTGGGCTCAGAACCCTAGCAAGCTCCTTAGTAATCATGTCTCTAACCGTCGAAGGCCTTCGCCCCTCTAGGGAAACCTTCGACGATTAAGGGAAAAGTCGCAACACGCTTGCCTTCATCTTGTCGGATCCCTAGTTTCCCAAATTTGGTGCCCACCGTGCTAGGACACGCACAAACCCACTATGCCAACCAATAAGAAGGCCTCCACATGGGGAAGGCCCAAGCACAACACTCGCAACATGTATGCCAACCTCCCTAATCCCCAAGAAAATGTGAAGGTTGAAGAGGAAGTACCTGCGGCAGACCAGCTAGGAGCCGAGGGGGAGAGTAACCAATCTCTAACCCAACATCAAAGCAATTACTTCAACAATTGCAGGCCAAGCTAACAGAGAGCTCAGCAAGAAAGGGACAGGTTGGTCGCAACCTTCACTGCCAATTAAAGAGCAGCCCTCGCTTCTCATCAAGTAGTGGAGGTGAGACAGCAACTTGCACTCCTACAGGCTGAGATTCAAAGCCTATTGCCAAATCCTCCCCCCATCAACCAATGACTCCAACAACCCTCCACCAGCTACACAAAGCCAAGTCAACCTCCAGCCAAGCCCTCAACCCCAGGAAATCTTTGGCACACCAATCAGCCTCATCCCACTCTCCAAACCAATAGACAACAAGTCTCCCTTGTTTGAAGGTTACAAACCCTAGCCTTGACCATCCACCTACAAAACCATATCCCTACCTAAATTCAACGGGCAAATAGACCCTCATCAGTTCATAATGAGCTTCGAGGCAGCTGTCACCTCCGCCAGAAGAAATGACACAATGCTGGCTAAATCTATCATTCGTCAACACGGCAGAAAGGGACGTTCGCTTGGTATTCCATGCTGAAGACCAAGTCTGTGTACTCATGGGAATACCTTCGAGACAAAATCATGTCAAACTTCAAAGGATTCACAAACGAGTCCTTGACCTCCTTGATCTATTCCAATGCAAACAACAGCAAGGAGAATCCCTTAAGGCTTAAGCATTATTATCAAAGATTCATGCAACTCAAAGCACGAGCACCCAATGTACTCGAAGAAGTAGCAATTGAGGCAGCCATCAAGGGCCTTCGCATTGGACCCTTCGTCGGAGAATTGGCTAGGGAGAAACCTTCTTCCATAGAAGAACTCTACAACGAGTTTGAGAAATACTGCAGGTCTAACAACGACCTTCACAAAAGAATGGAAGAGCAAAACTAGTTCAAGCAGCAAACTCGATCCCAAAACAGAAAGCATCCTCCTAGGAATGGCAGAGGTCAAAACCAACCTCCGCGAGGCCCTAACCAACAACTTTTCAATGTCAACTCCCAACAAAATCAGCAACCGACCCAACACAACTAGAAGCAGCCTAACCAAGATAATAGGCCTCCACACCAACAAGACAACCGCAGAGGCAACCAGAGGAGACCCTCGAACAAAATAAAAAACACAAGCCAGAAACCCCAAAGGCAATACTGCTTCTTCCGTGGGGAGAATAAAGGGCACATCACTAGAGATTGCCTAGATGCCAAAGAAACCCAAGAGAGAATCAATCACATGCAAAGTCAACAACCCTCACAACAACAACCTTTGAGAGGTCACGAAGCATAGGATGACAAACATGTGACAAAGGCTACATACTATAGGTAGCATAGGTGGAGACAGCATCATACCAATCTGCTGGAAAATGTAGGCAATCTAGTAGTTGTTGTGCACTCTGTCCTCTCTCGGCTTCTCAAGCAATGCTACTGGCCTAAAACTAATGAAGCTAGTGCCTCATCGTGCTTCTATTATTTTCTCATCACAGCAACAAACATGTCTTCTTGTGTTTTTCGCATCTGAATTAGTTCATCTTGTAGGGATTGCATCAGCTCAAATTGTGCCCGTGCTATTTTTGGCTCAACCAATGGTCCAAAACTAGATTCCGCTACATGATCATTTATTTGAACCTTGTTGTATGGGAACGGTTGGTTGAGGCGATGTATAATCCTCATTCTTAACTAGCGATACCCAGTAGTGCAACACTGATCAAACCTTGAAATCCAGAGCGTGCCTGTGCCTCTCGCAAAGCTAAGTCAGCTTCCTCATTGCTGGCTAGATCAACTATTGTCATCTAGTCATGTACTGCCCTTAGACCATGAATCCTCTGTGTCTGTCAGTAGGACTAGGAGGTTTATATTGAGGGAACAAACTCTTCGATTCTTTCAGGACCGTCTCCTGTTCTATTTATCTAACAGTCCTAGACTATAGGTAACAAATGACATGAGCATACAACATCCTCCTCTTGCCCTTGAATCTGCAATCCAGTCTTCTCACTCACAAATTAGCAAGTCTACCACATCAATATTAGTATAAATATGCATATCTTTGACGAAAATCCTAATGACGAATCAAAAATTGTCATAGATGATCGATTTCTATGACGGATTTTTTGTTTCATCATGGAACATTGGTGATGGTCCTCTATCCCTGTCTATTTCTGACGAAATCAGATATCATCATTGAACGACATAGGGTTTCATCCAGATCACACGCGCAACTATTGTTGCTCATTTGTGACGATCTGCTTTAGAACTGTGACGACCAGACATGGTAGATCTGGCACAGGCCACAACGTTAAATAAAAGTTTGACATGTGGACAAACTAGTGTTTGACATGTGTAAGAGCCAGGATAGGACATGTGGGCCAATTCAAATCCAAGATGTGGTACAAATCCGTCATGCCACGTGGTTGAATAAAAAAAGACGTATGGGTAGTTTAGGGCGCAACACGTGGTCCACTAAAAACTTATACGCGGACGTACAACATCGTGACATGCGGTCGAGTAAAAAAAGAGCGACACGTGGGATATTGTTGCCACATGGACCAATAAAAATGCGACACATGGTCCAATGCAGAAGTGACATGTGCTCCAACCGCAACACGACACATGTGCCAATAAAAACCTGACAAGTGTGTAAGGAAAATGGACCCTAGGCCCATTTACTTTGGATTTTGGTGTTTGATGACCAACACAACCAAATTGGACTAATGAATTTGCATGTAATTGTTTTGTAGTTCAATAGGGTGCAAGACGTGACTTGGACGAAGGTGACATGATGATCCCACGATCAACACCATAAACAAGACCCTAGAAGCACAAGAGAAGACCCAAGATATCAAGCAAAGTCCAAGCATGAAGATGGGAACCAAGCCGGACGTAAGATCGTGAAGAAACAAGCTCAGCAGAGGTGACCGGACGCGAACCAAATAAGGACCGAACGCGTCCGATCAGTTGCTCGACAACCCCAGGCATCGGCAGCTGTGACCGGACGCTGAGCAGTAGTGACTGGACGCACCGGTGACACTGTTCATCATCACGGCAGTGTTTTCAGCATGACCGGACGCAGAAGACTGGACGACCGGATGCACGAAGTGCAGTGTCGATCGAGTCCAGAGAGGTTCTAGAGCGGCGCCAGCGCGACCGGACGCGTTGAGTCGATGATGACCGGACT